GGGGGGGGGGGGGGGGGGGGGGTAATACAATAGCATTTAGGGGAATATTTTAACATAATAAAGTATTCTGGGAGACAAAACCATTTGTCCTTACCCATGCTCTACAGGTTTTACTTTTGTAAGTCCTTAACAGTCAGTAACTTTTAAACCAAAGACTTGGATTCTGATGTTTTAAAAAACCACCTTTCCTTCGGGGGGAAGGGCACATCAAATTCCCAACAGATCACTTCTTAAAGCAGTGACACTTTCAACATACTCAGTAGTTCATCAAAAATAGAACACTCAGCCTGGCCAGCGTGGCTCAGTGGTTGAATGTTGACCTATGAACCAGAAGGTCACGGTTCGATTCCCGGTCAGAGTACATGCCCAGGTTATCGGCTCAATCCCCAATAAGGGGCATGCAGGAGGCAGCCAATCAATGATTCTCTCTCATCATTGATGTTTCTATCTCCCTCTCCCTTCCTCTCTGAAGTCAATAAAAACATATTTCTAAAAAACAGAACACGAGGACATATTAGCTTTCTCAGTCTGATATGTCACTTAACCCGTAAACAGTAAGATCAGGTGCTGAGCAGAAGGCCCAGTGAGTTGCTGGCAAATGTTTAACAGCTGGCACCCAAAGGGGCAAAGCGGCCTGATCTATAAGTTGCTGGCAAATGTTTAACGCCTGGCACCCGAAGGGGCAAAGAGGACTGATCTATACCATTTTCCAATTTCCATCCTGTAAATACTCCCACCATGACCATCTTCAAGCTACCTCTGTGATGTCCCTGAATACGGAGATGGAACAGGAGGTACACCATCGGGTCTCGGAAGCTGGCCCAAGCCAGTTTCAACATGGCACCAGGGGAAGCCAACAGGCACTGAAAACTGTCCCCTTGTCTTATGAAGACCCTCTACCCACTCCCTTGCTCTTGATACTGCAGTCCTTACCCATCACCTCAGCAATGCCTTGTCCAGATCTTGTCCCCCAAGCCACACCTTTGGAATCCCCTCAGGGGGATGAAAGGACACCTCCTGTACTACAACCACACGGAAAGAGCAAAATGAGGGGGGAACTGCAGGTAAGTCTGCACTTAGTGGTGGAGTGGAGGGATTCCTCACTTGATGACTTTATTTCTCAGGGAAGTAGGAGTATTAGTGGTTATGCTGTACAGTACAGATGAACTAATTACGAAGATAAAATGTTATTTTCTAGACATAATTACCATGATAAAATATTATTTTCTGGGTGTTTAAAAATCTACAATCAAATGAAGCTTTCCCATTAATGTAATCAAAGGAATTAAAAGAACAATGAAGGCGGGAGCATTTGGAGAGAAGTGCAGGCAGCTCCCCACAGCAAGGTGATCACAGAAACGGTTCTGTGGCTATTACCCAACACCCAGGAATGGAGGCACCAGGTATACGAGATGTCCGTGTGGCAAACATCCTCTTTCCTTACCTGTTTTGGAAGTAACAAGCTGTAGCACAAGAGGCCGTCTCGTCACGATGCCTGACCCTCGAGGAAGAAAGTCTCTAAAAAAAAGAAGAAATAATAGATTGAGGCATTAATGAATTCTGTTGACTTGTAAATTTATGTCACGTTCCAGAATAATTCTCCTAATTCCAAACTTTTCAATGTATCACATGTCTAAAGAAGGCCAGACTCATCTTATAAAAGAAGCATTTGCCAGAAGTAAAAACTAATAAAAGGGTGGGCCTCTTATATTGCATACGGATCCATGTGCTTTATCCTGATGGCTGGAATTAATGAAAGTTTGCATTAATTTACTGTGTACTGTCAATGAACTTGTATGATCAGAGAATCAGCATTAACAGAAACATTTGATGCAGAAATTAATCCTTAAACTTTTTTAGAATTAAAAAATTCAGTACTCCATCTGACTTCAAGATCAATATTAGTACCATCAAATACTGACCATTATTAAAGGTACATTAGATTGTATCTTCTAAATATCCTGAAATTTTTCTCCATATAAAACGTGGAATCAAGTGCAGATAAATATTGTGTATGTAGAATTAACAGCAATATATATTGCAATGTGAGTTTGATTTATTTCACTCCTGATAAGTGGAAGTTTTTAATAAATAAAGATGCATTTGAATGGCATGTTAATATAACTAGATCAATAAAACTGCAGCAAAGAAAGTATTATATAATCACATCTGCAGTGCCACATAAATCATGCAGATTCTGTGGTGTCAAAGAAGAATTCATGCACGTGCCTAAAACACAATTTTTAAACACATTTAGAATGCCTCACAACTTTGAGAAAAACCATCATTTTAAAAATCACAGAGTTCTATTCTATTCTATTCAAAGTAAGTCTCTGACTGAATGCCAATGTTTCTCAAAAACTGGTTCCAGGACCACCAGAAAGTGTTATAACCACTGATCCCACCACCGGTCCTGACCCTACAACTTCAAGAATATTCAGGGGTATGTAGCCTCTGTGCCCTTTAA